GTGTTCGGTAACAATCTGAAAATGAAAATGATCTCATCTCAATCCATTGCTCACCATTTATTCTCAAATTCTTTTCAATAACAACGTGATGAAAACCAACGTTGTTGATGAGGCCAGATTGGTGTCTTCATGCTTCAGTTGACCGTCCAAGGCGAGACCCCGTTTATCCTTGTTGTTTGACAGTAACGGGCATAAAGTGTAGACCTTCGACAGGGTCGCGCCTGGCCCCACAGGAAAACCTTCACTGAAAGTATTCAACGTAAAAAAGCACAAGCTCACAATGATTTCAATTGTTTTCCAATGCTTAGGAGAGCTCACTGAATCGAACCGCTTGACGCGATTTCTTTGCAATTGGACAACGGAAGTCTTCAGAGAAATGAATAAACGATTTCGAAGAAAAATGTAATTAATTATAAGAAAGCTAACGTTGAGTCGACTTTGGCCACTTCACACGTGTACGATGCAGTCGTGAACAGGCAAATATCAGCGATCTGCACAACAGCCACTTTGATTCGTTTCACGGTTTTATTGCTATTGTTCTGAACGTGCACGTTCACAGCTATCGATTCACCATGATAATACATCTGCAAATTTTCAACAATCAGTTCCAAACCAGTGCATCAAGTATTCTTATAACTTGAGCAAAATTCTCGATATAACTGAGAAAAATTCAATAAGTGAAACAGAAAAACTGAATAGTTGCACATNTTGAGCAAAATTCTCGATATAACTGAGAAAAATTCAATAAGTGAAACAGAAAAACTGAATAGTTGCACATATATCCGTCGGAACAGGAAAATTACGTTTATGTTTACGATTGAATTACAATAGGTTACAAGCAAGCCAGTAGACCATGAAGCAAACAACATGCCTCCTTATCGAGCGAAGCTTCCATATGCAACAAGCCAGGACTCATCATAAACTCTTTGGTGACTTCAATGGTTGGTTGAGGTCGATTTTCGTACGGTGCGTAGGTTAACTTTCTAATCGCTAATCGTACACAATTGCTAAAATTTTAAATGTTCAGATCATTGTAAAGGAATCCTTCTCATTGTAAAAGAAAACTCTTGTTGGTTTCAGCTAAGAACCGAAATCATTTCCTTACTAATCAAGAAAAATTAATACAAAATTGCTCGCTCAATGATAGCATCATTGAAGATGGTAAATTCTGAACTCACACCCTAATTTTCAGTGACGCAATATATCAATGAGAATTAGTCAGTCAAAATTCTCAACTCACTGTTTCTTCGGTTTATCGCCGCCATTAGTGTCCAGCGAACCAACGACGGTTTTCAGCTCGTAGTCGACACCACACGGCTTACCCGTATCTCCTGGGGCTGGCTGAAAAATGCGTGTAGCCACGAATCAATTTGTTCTTTTTTTTTCATTCACCCACAACAACAAAAAAATTTCACGATTCAAATCCAATAGATCAAAAGTTTGAAACTGAAACGAACCGAATAAATTCATAACAATTATGACTAATATTACAATAACAACAATATCAACAAACGGAAAGCACTGAACGAATGGAACAGTGAAATTTATACCGAAGACAACTAAATTCAGATTGCTCACCTGTAAGGTAACACTTGACGCCGACCTTGGGGGTACTTGAAACCA